CAGGTGGCAGCACCTGGCTGACCTTGGCTAGGCTTGGAAGCTAAACGAGATTGGTTCTAATTAGTATTTGGATAGGGGACCTCAAAACAGTATCAGGGCTGTAGTTTGGGAAGTTGAAAAAACATCCCAGAAGTCATTGGCAAACAACTTCTGTATTGTTGCCAAGAAAACCACATGGATAGGCTTTGAGGCCACTAGGACTTGAGCTAAAATCTAGATAGGCTTTACTTTTTAGGAAGAAATATTTCAACAGAATAAAACAAACTACACTGTTAAACTATTTATATTTGAAATCGTACTGTTTTTAAAACAGATTTCAAGTTACAATCAAATATATATTTTCTGGGTTATAAATCATATTTAATGTAATAGAATTAACTTATGGATATTAGTCATTATAGATTTGAGAGTAATGTCATCTTTTTTAGGAACTCAAATAGCTTACTCAGATTGAAGGATCAGTGTAAATACCTTACAGTATTTTTATTCCTTACAGTATTTTTATAAGATTTAAGTTCTTTGTAGAATAACCATCCTTCCATCTTTAATTTGAGAATTGTGGCCAATAAGGCAATATCCCAGGAGTTAAAAATAATGCTCAATACTACAAGTTGCTTCAGGATTTTTCTCAAATAATTTTCTTTTCTTTCTGCATCACTGAACAAGCACATTAGATACATCATCATGTTTTTCAGAATCACCTTCCTAAGTAACCACCCATTCTAAAGGGCTAGTCACCTAGGTTTTTGTTTGTTGCTGTAGACTCAATTTTAGCTCATGGCAATTACAAAAAAAGTTTATGGCAACATTTTTCAGAAGAATTTTGTCATTGCCTTCTTCCTAAGGCTGAGAGCTTGTTTTGTGTCTAAGGCAGGACTAAAACTCATGGATACAGTATTTGGTTTCTAACCTTTTCTAAGTCAGGGCACCAAACTAGCTGTCAGTGATTTATAGTCCTCAAATTTTGACCTTTCATTTGTTCAGCAACCATTCAAAGTTACCATGGTGCTGACCAAACAATGACCGGTCCTTAAAGTTTGGGGTTTTGCACTGTCCCTTGGTCACATGAATAAAATTTGGCAAGTTGGCAACCAGTTCAACCTTATGACCAGTTGCAGCATCCCACGGTCATGTGATTACCTACAGCACTTGTGATCTTTCCTGCCAGCAAAGTCAATGGGAAAGCCAGCAGAAAAGGCTGCATATAAGTCTACCCCATTTTTCCTGGCACTTCTTCACTTGTATGTACCACACCCTCCTTCCCCCCGTTGCTCACATGCACCCACATCCTCCTTCCCTAGCTTTCTTGTGGTTGCACACATGCATGTATGCATGTATCTGATAACCTCTTTCCTGGCTTCCTGTCCTTGTCTGTACATATGCATGTTCTCTGTGCCTTCTTTTCCCATCCCACCCGTCTTGCCTCCACACATGGACCCCATACCCTCCTTCCTTACCCAAATTGGATCAAATTAGTCTTTGTGGCTGTCAACACATACTTTGATAAATTGTGATTTTTAAAAAATATTTATTTGTTCTGGAAAGATTGCTAGAGGAAAACAAATGAAGGTTTCAACTCAACTTTTATTTTTAAATATCTTTGAATAATACTGTATATTTCTTAACAATACTTTTGAATGTTTTTTAATGACTACCACATAGAATAACAGGTTGCTTTAGTATTGTAATGTTTCCAACATGTATTATTCTGAGATAATAAAAGTGAGATAATAAAAGCCCAGTCTAGCACAATACCAGCAAAGAAGAAAAATAACAGCTCTCAAAAGAAACCAGCATGGCTGCATAAAGAACTCTCTGATAAATTGAAAGATAAAAAGGACAAGTATAAAAAGTGGAAAGAGGGGCACATAACCAAGGCAGAATGTCAGCAAATAGCCTGAGCCTGCAAAGATGAAGTGAGGAAAGCTAAGGCTCAAAATGAACTAAGGCTTGCGACCAAAGTCAAAAATAACAAAAAAGCTTCTTTCAACATGTAAAAAACAAGAAAAAAATTAAGGAAATGATTGGTCCATTAGTGGGGGAAAGTGGCAAGAAAGTGACAAGCAACAGGGAGAAAGCAGAACTATTTAACTCATTTTTTGCATCTGTCTTTATACAAAGGGAAAAAACAGCCCAACCTATCAAAAATAGTGCCATAAAAAATAGAATAGAAACACAAGATAAGATAGGCAAGAAAATGGTAAATGAGCACCTGGGGATAGATGGGGAAGCCATCAAATTTGCAGACGACACCAAGCCAACATTCCAGAAACAGGCTTAAGATACAGGAGGATCTGGACAGACTTGAACACTGGGCGCTATTTAACAAAATGAAATTCAGTGGTGAAAAAAGTAAGGTTCTACATTTAGGCAAGAAAAAACAAATGCACAGATATAGTGTAGGTGGTACCTTGCTCAATAGTAGTAACTGTGAGAGGGATCTCGGAGTCCCAGTGGACAATCACTTAAATATGAGCCAACAATGTGCTGCAGCTGCCAAAAAAGCCAACACAGGCTGCATTAACAGAGGGATAGAATCAAGATCACGTGAAGTATTAATACCATTTTACAATGCCTTGGTAAGGCCACACTTGGAATACTGCATCCAGTTTCACCACGATGTAAAAAAGATGTTGAGACTCTAGAAAGAGTACAGAGAAGAGCAACAAAGATGATTAGGGGACTGGAGGCTAAAACATATAAGGAACGGTTGCTGGAATTGGGTATGTCTAGTTTAATGAAGAGAAGGACTAGGGGTGACATGATAGCAGTGTTCCAATATCTCGGGGGCTGCCACAAAGAAGAGGGAGTCAAGCTATTCTCCAAAGCACCTGAAGGCAGGACAAGAAGCAATGGATGGAAACTAACCAAGGAGAGATGCAACCTAGAACTAAGGAGAAACTTCCTGACAGTTAGAACAATTAATCATGGAACAACCTGCCTCCAGAAGTGGTGAATGCTCCAACACTGGAAATTTTTAAGAAGAGACTGGACAGCCATTTGGTTGGACTAGATGACCTCCAAGGTCCCTTCCAACTTTATTATTATTATCAGGCTAGAAACGGGGACACCATGAGTTCTTGTCTTGCCTTAAGCACAAAGCCAGCTGGATGACCTTGGTCCTACCACTTTTTCTCAGCTCTAGGAAAGAGGCAATGGCAAACCATTTTTGAAAATCCTTGCCAAGAAAACTATAGGGACGTATTCGGGCAATATCCAAGAATCAGATATGATTGAATGGAAGGGGGAGGGGGAAGTACAAATGTAAACATTTTCTATCAATTTTCTCTTAAATTATAGGGTAGGGTAAATTTTATTGATTTTTTCCCCATAAGTCTTCCCATTATTGTAATGTATAATAATTAGTTCTTTAAAAATTTGCATCTACTTTATCATAAAATCTTTTACTTCTTCTGTTTTGCTATTATTTTAATATTATGCTATTATTTTAATAGTAATTTACATATATGTCCTAATAGGCAGTTTTGGTTCTGTATGAGCATTTCAAATTCTGCCATTTGTCTTTATGGTCACCTTTTATTCTTCCAGCAGTCTGTAAATGCATCAACTATGGTTAACTTTGGGCTTTGGCAGATAATTATTTCTATGTCTTTAGCCTATTTCTTTTTCAGACATGATTCTCATAGAATTTTCTTTAGCAAGATTTATTGTGGTGCCAGGAGTAGGAATATAAGAATTTCAACAGGTGAATTGTTTTCAATTTGGTACCAATATAGTTTTATGTATATTTAGGTGAAAATTGTCTGATTCCTTCTATGCAGCTTTTCCACGAACTAGTAAACAGGTTTCTTCAGTGGTTTTGGGAAAATTAGCAGCTGGTTGTTCACAAAACTATCTCTTGAAACTTTATCAGTCTGGGAACCAACATTTACAGCACCTGTGCTGTTCAGCATAGATAGGAAATTGCTGGGGAAATCATGTGGGCCTTTAGAATTGAACGTTATTTGTTTGTGGATGACAAAGAGTTTAATGGCTCTTTGCATCAAATTATAAGGAAATAGTCACTACTACAAAGTATTGCTTAGATTTGATAATGGGCTAGATCAGGAGGAACAGAAACAGAAGTGCTGCTTTCAGTAGGAAACTAAATGGGATTGAGGTTCAGCCAATTTGGATTGGTTTAGAGGTAGGCCAGGTTAGGAAACAGTTTTATTGTTTTCACCCTTAAGAGCTTGTCCATTCTTTCTTCAAGCTTATTTCTACATTATTTTACATGATTTTATGCTGCTTTTGATTGATGTCATGATCCTCAGCTATCAGTAAATTTACAGAGGATGTTTGGGCAAGAAGTACATTTACAAGTACCAGTGCAATAATTCCTAAGTTAGTCAAATTTGGCAACACTTATCCATATTTCGGTGCAAACTAGTTTTGACTACTTCAAGGGACTACCCTTGAAAATATTTGGAAGTTGCAGTTGTCACAAAATACTGTATGGCATCTGGGCTGTTAACTATTGCCTGAACTGAAAAATCCATTGCTTACTCAGCATAATTTAATCTTGGCCTAAGTCTAAGGGGTTTAGGGTCTACCCTATTTCAAGAATTGCTTCCTTTTATGAACCAGACTGCCAACTGTGATCTCCAAGCAGAGGACCTTTTGAAGATGTCCCAGTTGTCATAGATTTGTTTTCTGGCATGCATGCGAGGATCTTTCACTGCATCATTCCTTTGCTGTGAAGTGTTGGCTTTGGAGTTCATTTAGTTCTTACTTTCTTTGCAGTTAGAACAGTAGACCAGGTATTTTTCCTTTCGTTCCAAAACTTACGATTGCACAAAATCATAATTAAATTCGGTTCATTATAAAATTCGATTAAGAGACAAAACAAAAATTAGACGGAATTCATGAATAACTTAACTTTCGACTGTATATTTAGTTTATCCAGTTATTAAGGTTAATTTCTTCCGTGTTTTTACTAGATTGATGGATTACAAACGTGAAGAAAACAACGTTGCAAATAATTTTTAAAAATATTTTAGGATGACCATGAAAGTTGTGGTTCCAGTTCAACAAATCGTAGTACTACAGAAGGTTCAAAAACGACAGTAAAACCAAGAAAAATACAACAGACTTCTCCTGACCCTGATTTGCCACCAGGTGATTTTCCATATAAATATTACATTTGGACATTTGTAGTGGGCCTTTTGAGATTCATCACCGTACCTCCCAAATCTGAATAGAAGATTTTGTGGGAGCATTTGTCACTGCCTTGGAATTTCTGCTTTGTTATTAAAATTAAGTAGAAATAAACTTGGGAAATCAGTGGTTGATCTATTTTTGTTGGTTATTGACTTATAAATAGTACAAGTAGTGCTTGTTTCACTACTACATTGAGGATTTACAACTCTGTTATTTAGCAAAGAGGTGAAAGTGCCGCTGTGCTTATGATCTTATTTCAGCTTTCCTTTGTTTTGCAAACCTATGAAGGTTGCAAGTGCAAGGATTGGTTGTAAAATAACTTTTTATCACCATTGTAATTGTGAATGGTCACTAAAACAAAGCAGTTGCTAAATGAGAACTTATGAAGCAATTCTAAGGCACCAACCTATTGCAAAGACTCATTTTTTTAAAAAAAAACCCCAGTCTTTTAGGATGTTAATTGGCTAAAACAGTGGTTCCCCAATCCTCCGACCATGGGCCACTATCGAGCCTTGAGCAGTTCAGAACTGGGCCACGGAAGTGGTGGGCAAGCGTGTGCGTGTATGAATCCCCACTTGCACGAGCAGTGAGCATGTGCATGCGTGCACACTTGCCCATTGCTTGCAGGGAACCATCCCCTCTCCCCCCTGCTGGTCCTCAAAGCCAGAAAGATTGGGGAATTCTGATCTAAAAGGCAATCTATGCCCACTTCCTCACTAGAGTTTTGTAGCATCTCCTACAAATTACTGAGCCATTGTTGTAGTAATATAAAGCTTATCCTCATTGTTATATTGGCACAATTGTAGTTTGATAATATAGTAATTGTTATAAATCACTAATAAGGCACTAGCACGGTCTCTCAACATTCTTCCTGCAGCATTAGAGGGTGCATGAGTTGGGGTGCACAGAGGAAGATCTATGTAAGAAGTATTTCTTGGCAATGAGGATTGCAATGCAGATCCATGTTTTTACTTATGTAAAACACGAGTAATCCTAAAGGAATTTGTCAGGACACTTTTAAATATAGTCTTGCTAGTTTTTGCCACTTATGCATTAAGTTGTAATATTTAAACTGGGTAATGGTAAATGATTATCTACTGATTTGTGGGGAATGCCCATTATATTTGATATTTATAATTACTGAAGACCAGTGGTGGGATTCAGCTGGATCGCACCACTTCGGTAGCTAATTTTTTGTTGCCCAGGCCCAAAATGGATTTCCCAAAGCGGCATCCACACAGAGAACCGATTGTTCACATATATGAATCCCACCAATGCTGAAGACCAAAAGACCAGAAAAGTTGATTGCATTTGTTTTATTTAAAAGCTTTTTTTTGGATTGTCAAAAAAAGCAAAAGTTATTTTGTTTTAAGCAGCTTGCTGGTGGAGTTCCTAAATAACAAACATACCACATTCATGTTTCCTTCTTAGGTTATGTACAAAGTTTGATTTGGCGGGTTATAAACAACGTCAACATTGTCATTAATAACCTCATACTCAAATATGTGGAGGATGATATTGTTCTTTCTGTTAATATTACTTCTGCGGAATGTTACACAGTAGATGAATTTTGGGATCGAGCCTTTATGGATATATCAGGTAATCTGTAAATCATTACTTTTTGCCAGAGTTAAAAAAAATCAACTAAAAATCAACTAAATGTACTATGTGGATTATGGATTATAGAAACCAATTGTTAATGATTTTTCTTTACAAATGTAAACCCAGCAAACACACTGTATACCAACTATTAAGTGATTTATGTTTTTAAAAAATCAATAAAATATATGGGGGGAAAAAACAGCTTAGCTGTCTTCAGTTAAGGGCCCTGGGAAATGGCTGTTCTATTGACTAATACGGGTGAATGGGCTCTGTGTTACTTACCAGAGAGATGATTAGTTCTGCCTGGACATATGAAACATCAGACTAGCTAGTTATGCAGATGAGATAGCCTTTTGTGTTTCCCTATTGTGTCCTTGGAACAAGAAACACAATATTTTGAGGGAGTGGGGGAGTTGAGCCTTCCAGATTTCTGCAATGACTTATTGAATTGGATACAAAGCAGCAGGATGTATTTGAGAACTCCTCATAAACTTAATCTCCCTGGTGTTATTTGTTTGTATTTACTTGTATGTTAAATTCTGGGATATAAAGAACTGTTGCTGGAATTGAGAATGTCTAGTTTAGTGAAAAGAAGGACTACAGATGACATGATAGCAGTGCTCCAATATCTAAAAGGCTGCCACAAAGAAGAGGGGAATCAGCCTTTTCTCCAAAGTAATTGAAGGCAGAATGAGAAGCAATGGATGGAAACTAATCAAGGAAAGATCCAGCTTAGAACTAAGAGAAAATTTCCTGACAGAACAATTAATCAGTGTTTACTGAACGGAGGTCTTCAACATCCACGAGGTTGTAACCTTCAAAATTTCTTCTCTAACCTGTTGGTAAACAGACTTTTCCATATCCCAAAGGACGGATTCGTCCCTCAACCTGATCTTCTGGAGGTTCCAGGGAAGGTTGAGACAATAAGACAATATATAGTTTCTTCGTATTAGACACACCAAAAAGTCTTGGAATCCAAAAGTGAATGTTTGTTGTTATTTTTAATGTGAAAGGAGGAGAGTTATTTCATACATCAAGAGTAATTGTGCATTTTTTTTAAATGAAAGGTAAAGCAAATGTAGTTTTCATACTGGTACCATCTATTGTATATTTTTTTGTCCCATGCACCTCCTTTCTGAAGCATTATTTCTAATGTCCCAAATCAATGTTCGGCTGTTATTTTGAAAAAGTGTATGCAGTCTTACCATGTATGGTTCTTTGCATATTAAGTAGAATAGAAATATGCACACAATATTTATTTTGTCTTGTTATTAAGGCACAATATTTAGTCTTGCTATTTTTCTTTCTTTTCATAGCAACAGATTTGGTACTAAGGAAAGTGATAAACTTTTCTGATTGTACAGTTTGTCTAGACAAAAGGAATGCTAGTGGCAAAATTGAATTTTATCAAGATCCTCTGCTATACAAGTGTTCATTTAGAACTCGCTTGCACTTCACTTATGATAATCTTAATTCTAAGATGCCATCCATTATTAAAGTAAGTAGATTTCTTGATAATTGGGTCTTATATTCTTGAAAAGCCCAAAATAGATAACTGAAGTTTTTTGAGATACACTTATGCTGAAACAAAAAAATAAATAAATATGAGAATTGTGTTCTGACCCACGACCAGAACTTAAGTTTCAGGAATTTCTGTGTTAAGTATTAACTTCATCCATGTTGTACAGTGATGTTAGTCTATGACATTCTGGACACTTTATTTCTTTCTTGATATTTTGCATGACTATAGTTAATAGAAAAAATATAAAGAAAAAAAATCATATAGTTTGGAGTTCGGAATATTTGTTATGAAGTATTTTATTCTAATCTTATTTCAAGGTGACATATCTTAATATGTATCTTGGAACCAGCATCATCAGCTGAATCCAACAGTCAATAGCAGCATATATTTTTGAAAATTTATCCTATTTCTAATATAAAACTGAGGAAGCTCCGTAACTTTATCTATGTTGAAGTTGTTTCCAGATGTGGGCTTGTGTGTTGTAATTCATCTATCCCTATGTGCAGCTAATTTTACTAGTATTATTGATGCCACATGCTGTAATAAGCAGTTGTTTTGTGCATAATTTATCCAGTAGCATGTGGTTTCAGTCTTCTAATGCAGGCTACCAATTCAACATAAGGGACATTTAAAGCTGTTCAGTGTAACTTCAATTTATTAGCTATAACAAATTTCAAACAGGTTTGACTGTAGAACTGAAGATTAATATTCAGAAATATTGGATCACTCTCAACAAATTATTTTTTTTAGGTAATGGCCATTTTCTGTGGAATTCTGAGCTTTATTCTCTCAAATAGCTTTTCCAACTTAGAATGTGTACTTTATTATCCAAAATCCTTCAGAACAAGTTATTAAAGGTATTGGTTAGATCATGGACTTTAATTTTTTTTTTGAGCTCGTGCTAGCTTTAACTATTCTCTATTAGAACTATTAAAGAGAAAGTATTTTTTTCAGAATTGTATCTGTTATATCTATTTTAATGAAAATAAAAGTTTATATTTGTTTGTTTCTGAAGTTGTTTTGTATGAGAAGATAGAGACAACCCCAGGTGCTTCTTAAGCACGAGCTTTGGAATCTGATTGTTTTATTATGTGCTTTTCTCTGTACTTGCAGGTTCATACTTTAGTTGAAAGTCTGAAGCTTTCTATTACTGATCAACAGCTTCCTATGTTTATCCGTATAATGCAACTTGTAATATCACTGTATTATGGAGAAATTGGTAACTTTAAAGATGGAGAAAGTGAAGACCCTATTTGTCACACCAAGGATATCTTGGGTAATATCTCAGGTAATAAAAAAAGAATCTGACTTTGAAACAGGCTGTTCATTTTTATAAAACTCCAAAGAGCCTATTTTTTAGGATGGACTGTCCCATAACTGAATGTTTTGTAACATTGTTATTTATTAGGATTTAAATATTAAGCAATAACTTGACATGATTTATAGAAAAATCTATTTCATGATGTCTTGCACAGAAATATTTTTATTGAAAGCAATTTTATCTTTCAAAAGCAAGTAGTAGAAATGCATTTTTATGTGATGGGCATCTTGTTCAAGAAACATGAATGAGTCCATGAATGTATTTAAAACTGAATTGCTACCTTGTTGAGTCCTGCAGAGATCTGGTTCAAAGAGTCACACTAATATTTTATAATAAGATACAAAAAAGAGTATGTAGAATAAATCTATTGGGATGATTTAGATTTTCCTATTATATAATTCAGTAATAATCAGTTGAGAAGAAATTACCTTAAATTATATTTACTATTATATTTGGTAGCTTTGTTTAATGTTGTTAGTATTAATAGAATTTCCTTTTTAATCTGAACACACAGATTGCTTATTTTATTTCCCAATCATATGTAATGATGCAAAAGGTGATGTGAAATCATAGTAACATTAGCAACTTGCTGTAACTAGCCATCTCTGAGGGGTCCTTGGTGCTGTCTGAGTTTGTTTGTTTTCTTGCAGGCGCTTCAGTACCCAGTATCCTAGCACTGATGATGTTTCCTAGTTTGGTTAATGTAATGTCTGCGAGAAAACAAGCAAGCTCAGAGAGCACCAAGGACCCCTCATTTCAACCCTGGGCTATAAATATTTTCCTTTATTGCTAATCATCTCTTAATGAAAAGGAGATAAATACATACATTATGTGTAGATTAGATTAGATTATTTTTGTTGATATTTATGTATATGTTTATGATTAAAATCAGCTTTCTTCAATAATAAAAAAATCCATTTTATCATTTATTTGGTGTTTGTTACAGTACTGCCTGTGGCCAATGATTGAGTAGTATTAGGGTCCTGACAACCCAGTAGTTAAGGCATCAGGCTAGAAAACAGGAGATTGTGAATTCTAGTTCTATCTTGAATACAAACGCAGCTGGGTGGTCTTAGGCCAGTCATTTTTCTCAGTCTTAGGGAGGAGTCAGTGGCACATCACTTCTGAAAAACTTGCCAAGAAAGCTGCAGGGACTTGTCTCTGAGAATCGGACATGATTAAATGAAAACAAAAACAAAATATTGCACTTGTCTTTCTGCTATTTTAAAGTGATCACAATGTAATCTTTTTACATATCTGAATTTACTTAATTTATTTAGAGAACTCTTGATAACTTGCAAGGCATATAAAAACATTAACATAGAATTAAAATTATATTTTATTATGAAAATAAAAATTAAAATACTGACATTAGAAGGGCTGTGAAAATAAATGTTCTAAACTGTGGCAAGTTATTCCATAATATGGCTTACCACAACAAGGAGATGATTGTGTCCAATATATTCATGCTGGCGCCTACAAGAATTGCACCCAAGTATAGAGTAGACAGTTTGGGAATAGAAAGACCTTAAAGTAAGTCAGGCTTAAGGCTTTGTGTGAACATCTTGAATTAGGCTTGGAAGACAACTAATAGCTAATGAAACTTCTTTATTTATTTAAAATATTGTTACGTCTTCACAATTAAGAGTCTTGGCAATACACAGCACAGTCCTAATTCACATCTTTACAATTATACCACATTAGTATAAGTTTATGTCTAGAACTAGGATATCAGAAAATGTATAGATATTAAGGGGTTTTGGAACATAGGATGTAGTTATGAATGTCATTTGTTTTGTTCTTGTATTTAATGTTTCTATATTCTGAAAAACAATATATTTGCCAAATTAAAACAGATAAATCTATCCATTTAAATTGATATATAATTTTAATACAACGTTTTAATAAATTTTGTTTGACATTGTTTTTATTTTCATTTAATGTGTTCTCTGCCTAGAGTCACTTGTTATGATGGACAGCTAAATAAATGGATTTAATAAATAAATACTGTTTTCTTTTGAAAAGACTTTAATATGTATAGTCTATTCTGTAAATTTAGGTAGGAGTACATTCTGTGACTTTTGAATGTTGTAGATTCAACTGCTAATTTGTTTAAACTGGATACTACAAACTTATTTCTGTAATATTTCATTATTCTGGTAAGGATACTGAGTGGTGGGTTGTTTTTCTCTACCATGTATAAATTGTCCTATACCTGCTTGGCACCATTGAAATATGTAGGACTAATTCTCATAATCTCTTAGAGAATGGATGAACCATATTTAAGTATTATCAAGTTGGAGAAAGATGGGCTGATTCTTTCAGGAGATGGACTTGTTAGAGATTAACTTTTGCGCATCTGTGATAGATGTAGAAAAAGATATTTACAATTTAATTCAGATGACTACGTGTACCTATATTACAAATTGATTCTTAAAATATTGGATAATTTGAGAGTAGAGAAAGACTGATTTTTTTAGGTTAGATAACATCAATATAACATTAAAATGAATATGGGTTGAACAGAGACAATATAATCAAACGGACAAGTATATCTGAGAAATACTATTTAAGTATCTATGCAGAAAGGTTACTAATGTCTGGGTTTGGTGATCTTATTTTTTTTAAATCTTGATTTTTAAAAATATAATCATAGATAGGTAATCACAAAAGAGCATTTTAGAGTTCAGTGCAGTGTGAATAGGTGTCAAATTATGCCATTTGGGCCCTTTAAAAGTAACACTTTTATGCAAATATCTGAGTCTATTTACAGTGAAAGTGAAACTTATTTCATTGAGTAGCCAAGTTTAACCACTTTAGCTGTTGTGTGGCTTTCATTAAATTACTGTAGGAAGCAGAGTTGTTTTGGCTTTATTGTACTGATTTGGAGGAAGAGAATGATAAACTCTGTGTTGGGTCCATGTGGATTTGTTTCCATTATTTTTATTGGATTTATATGACAGCCTCAGAACATACCACCTACAAAGCTATCCGGTGTTTCTTCTATTATTTAAATGAAAAACTAAACATAAGTGCCCCATTTCTTTAATAAGGAAGTTTATTATAATAACACACACACACACACACACACACAAAACTGTTTCTCATTTAGCCCTTTGTGTTATTTCACTTTATAATGAACTTCTCATATTTGGAAAAACAGTGTGGAGGACTGACATTGAAAGATTGCAGTGATATATTCTTGCCTAATTCTAATAATATAGAGTAGTAGTGAGCACAGTTAAATACGAGTTTATAAAATGGGCTTGATCACATATAAAATCCATTTACCCTGTATCGCAAAACATTATACTCTCTATAGAAATCATTTACTTTTCCTTACTGGTCATTCATTTTTGTATTCAGTTCATATTCACATATATTTGTTCTTGACCATACTCTGCTTTTCCACATATACTTCTTCAGTACTCCATGACTACTACATTTAACGTTTACGTTTCTCTTATATCAAACTTTTTCTTCCATGTAAGGCTGCTTTGAAAGACACCCAGAAACTGCAGTTGGTACAGCATGCAGTGAGTGTGAATGCTTGTGTATTATCAAGCATTCATCACCCTTAGCATATTGTACTTGTATTGAGAGGCAAAGACATTGGGTGTTTTTAATATTTTATGATTCTGTATTATGTGGTAAACTGGGAGTCTTGACAATATGGCAGTATACAAAGATAGATAAATAGTCAGTCAGTATAAGTACACAGGAATTTGGACATCTTATGGAAAAAAAACTTATTCCTTACAAGAGAGGTTTAGCTGTAAATACTTTAAATAACCAAGGTGCATACTAAATAAATACATAAAGTGACTCATTTATTTTCATACTTGTTTCATTTTCATTACATACTTTTATTCATTCATTTACTCATTCATTCATTCACTTACTTACAGGACTGATATGGCTGTCTGTCTTATATAATGACTCTAGATGGCTCAGAACAATCCATAAAAACATGCTAAGTTCTAAGCTCCCATCAGGTATCACATTTAATAACCAGCTTCATATTTGCACAAAAGATTCTGTAATTCAAGTATTCGCTTTATGGTAGGATATCTCTGAATTAAGTAATATACCATCCCTTTCTCATTTTCATACATTTCTCAGTGATTTGCTGAAGAGCAAAAATCTGGTTTGCACATCTCCCCTGGAGCAAAAAGTTGAAGTGTGCTTTTCATATTTTGCCCATTGTCACTTCAATTCTGTCAAGTATCTTCCTAGATATATTTAACAAACTAATTCCAAATAAATTTTGCACTTATTCTTTCTACTCTTCCTTTGTGTAAGAAAATATTATTGCTACTCTTCTAATTGTCTAGCCCAGAGCCAATCTTCATGCCATGTTAAGCAAGTTTCATGACCACTTCATAAATAAACTAAATTCATATTATAACATTTCTCCAATTACACTATCCCCACATGCTGCCCTACTGTTTTTGAACATTCTGGCAATATTTAGGCATTCCTTTTCATCATTTTTCCTCAAATAAATGCTAACATTTATAGCATTTGTTTCGATTCCACTTTGTTGTATTTAATTTTATTTACAATATTTATGATTCACCCGAATCTACAATTACTCTGGGTACGCGTACAAATAAATTATATGCAGCCAATAAAATAAAAGAAACAATTATGTAATTATAGCAAACCATAATAAACCAGAACCCAAGACCTACTGAAGCAACACTTGCTTTCTAAATGCAAGCAGGCTAAGAGTCCTGTGACCTTCTAAGGAGAGGGCATTCTAGAGATGATATTATCATTCTGATGTAAATCTCTAAAATATGTCTTCCAATGCCTCCTCACTTCAATTTCATCTCAAATAATTTCACTTTTTTAATCTACTCACTCATACCCATACATCCCCAGAACAACCTAGACAACCATATATCCTTTTTGTAATTTATAATTCAAGTCCTGCTTTTTAATATCTCATAGAGGACACTATGATGGCTGATAGATAACTATTACATGGTATTGTTGTTGTTAGCATATGGCATTGTTACATTAGCCAGGAGACTACAGAGTAGTCTATTGCAGAGTAGTAGATCGGCTCCCAAAATTATCAGCTCTATTGTAAGAAATGCTCGCATGCTTTCCAAGGTGCGCCACAGAAGGGTGAGCTGGCTTTGCACCAGAAAGAAAGACGAGTGGCTCTTTCTGTAGCATCATCTAAAGCCCCCTTCCTCCCCAGAGCTGCCTTGCGAATGGGCGTTGCAACCGGGAAGGTTCAAAGCTGGCAGGAATCTGATTGCCTGCACAGAGCACCCACTTGTCTTCCCACCAAAGTGGTACCTATTTATCTATCCACATAGTACATGCTTGGGCCCATCACTCTCTCTCAGTCCAACTCACCTCACAGGCTTGTTGTGGAGGAAATAGGAGGAGGTAGGGGTATTAGGTATGTTTGCCAGCTTGAGTTCTTTATCAAAATAATAAAAATGGTGATTTTAAAAATATAAAAAAAGACTTTCTTATTTTGTAGCCATATAGAAAAGGTATAGACTAGGTTATGAGCCTTAGACATGTCTTAGCTATACACAACATATCTTGCTTATAGTAAATATAGTACAGTCCAGATTGGGCCAATATACTCAAGCGCAACCAAAGTCTTAGTTTACTCCTTGCAGTCCACCTTACATAAAATATCTGAACTAAAGTCTACTTTCTTAGCCAGTCAAAATCACACCAACAAGGAGATAAATGCAATATACTGACACATATTCATATATGTGTCAGTTATAATGTATTATAACTTAAGCGATGTATTGATTTAACTCTATTCAAGCATATTGGGGACATAGGAGTGAATGTGGCTACAAAACACCCCATTTGGTAATGGGACTTTAAAATAGTTCCAATTTACAGTATATCAAATGAAAATACAGAAAAATAGTGGGATGATTTTTGTTTTAGGAAATTGGAAACTTGGAAAAGCTTTGTAAATTCCTAGCAAAAGAAGATTCCTAGCAGGAATCTCCTTAAGAATCCTTTCCATTGCAATGAAGTTTTAAAATAGCTTCTACTTTAGAATAATTTTTTCAACGCTTCAGCATACAGTACAAGTGTTTCATATTTTCTTTAAGTTAGACAGTAAGGTTGGAAAAAAAAGTGGGAGGTTTGGGGGGGGATTTCTTTTTCAAACTAATCATGGCCCAATTTGCCAGTTTACAATGGCGATATTAGTATTACTATCTGCAAGCTCACTATTCCTGGTTTAAATAAGTAGATTGGCTCTACGTCCTAATCTTTGTGCCAATTCAAATTCTTATCTTTAATTTAAACAAGTATATTTTTTTCCCTTAAAAATATGGCTTTATAATAGATTTTTAAATTTAAATTGATGTTGCTCATATAACAAGTGTTATATATGAGCAACAAAAGCCATAAAAATTCTAAAAAGAATATATAAATACATATTTTAAGTATATAAAATACAATCCTTAATTGTACAATGCATTTGGAAATGGATATTTTATGAATATGTTCAGAGTAACACACAACAAAATTAGATCTTCTCTTTATGTTAATTATGACAAGACATTTAATGTTTTCAGGCAGAAAAATGTTCTTTTCTTCTACAGAGGTAAATATGAATACAAAAATTCAATTTTTGGTGGCTAAAATTGCATTGTTAGCTAGCTCTGTTTCTTTATGTTTTCAGGTGCAGAAGATGAAATAGGCAAAGACATTTCTCCAGAATTTTATATTCCACAAGATGATGATCAACAGCAAGGGTGGGTGTCGTGGGCCTGGTCCTTTGTACCTGCTATTGTGGGCACTGATAATGAAGACAGTGATGATGTTGGCGTGGAGGACGGAACGATGAATCAACAGAAAAGTCCAATCATTAAGGATCCCATTGTTTCCATAGGATTTTATTGCACAAAGGCAACAATCACTTTCAAAGCAAGTATTTTATTTTTAATACAAGTATATTTTCAGCTGTATTTAATTGAGTGATTAGTCAAGCGTACTTGCTACAAACAGTATTGTCCAAATTCTAATACTGGGAGAAAATGTATATAAAATGTATTTTTAGGTAAAATACTATAGCAACAACAACAACAACAGTAACAATCCTTCTATAGTACATACAGCATGCATCCTGTATCCATCCATTCAAATTTAACTCTATGGAATTCATTGAGAGATACTCCTGTGTAAGTAAATAGTACTGAATCCTTAGTATGTGATTTTTGTTTCAACTGAAGAGAGTATATGTAGCTTAGGATTGAATTGTGGGGTTCTTGATGCTCTCTGAATTTGGTTGTTGTAGTTGTTAGGCCAGGACAGTGCAGTCACATTGTCGTCAGGTGAGGAAGTCATACTTCTGCCCTCTTCATCTCTCCCAACCTGCCTATCTCCTCCTATCCTACCCTGCTGCCCTCTACTACCCATACGTGACTTTCACCATGTTTTTCACTCTGCTGCTGGCTCAATATTCAGGTGCTGGGTGAGGATGCAGCCCTGGGTTGTGTGCAGTGAATGTTACGGGGCTGTAGAACCTCACCTGCCAAAAGGAGCTTGCCAGGCTGGCCGAAGAGGAGGCAGCAGGATAAGGAGGGGTGCAACAGTGTCCACCCTCATAAAATTTGATAAGTTTCATTGCACAAACCTATAACAAAGACCCCAAACAACTGAAAAATAATAAATGAAGAAAGGAGTGTAAGCACCTTGAGATGGGGAGGGGGGGAGAAGAGCTTTAATTCTCTATAGTTTTAGTTAATTATTTATTGCTTCCTGAACATTTATGGCATTACACATGATTCTTTGTTTTCTCTGTCAGTAATCCTCTGATAGAATTAGTCTAATAGTCCCAAATTATCCATTAAATCTCACTGCTAAATGAAGATCTGACCTAGGCTTTCTTGGTACAAAATTGTTACTACTGTATTTGATTGATAACATCTATGTTATCAATTATTTTCTCTGTTACAAAATAAAAATCACAGAGTTCTTAGTGGTCTTTGAGGTTAGTTGTTTGCTTGCAAGCATTTCATTTCCCAACTAGGTAACATCATCAATGCCTAACATTATCATAGTTCAGGTATCATCATAAGTGAGCATGGATGATACTACCTAGTTAGGTAATGAAACATTGGCAAGCAAACTGTCATCTGGTGAGGCAGAAGAGATATGTCTCCGAGGGTGAAGGTGGAGACTGTGTGAGAGGTGTTGTTTGGAATGGTAGCAGAACTGGAAGAAGCCTAGAGATTCTCAGATGCGCAGTGTGCAATATGCAGCTTGTGTTGGAACACTCCTGGAAAACCAGACAGCAGGCTTCAGCAAGGAATGAAGGCGAGCCCAGCACTAAGAGTTAACCAGTGGTAAGATGGGCTGCCAATAAACTTTACAAACAAACAAATAAATAAACTTACCCACAGACCCTTTGTTTGCTTTTGCCCCAGTCTTCTTCTTGCAAAGCCTCACAAATGGCCAGTAGCTTCCAATGTGCACTGCACAGTGTGTGTCAGAAGTGTCCCAGGAAAACTGATCAGCGGGGCTTCAGCAAGGAGTAGAGATGAGACCAGCTCTGGCAGAACTTACCCACAGGTCCCCTACTTGCTCTCAGCCAGCTTTCCTCCTGCAAAGCCTCATGAATGGCCAGCAGCTTCCAAGGTGCTGAAGCCTACAGACCTTGCAGCTCCTTACACTTCTTCCAGTTCTGTCACCAACCCAGACGGTGCCTCCCAGCAACCTCCAGCTTTATCTCATGAACTTTCACCCTCTCCTACTTCACACAGCATTGCCTTTCACTCTCTTGCTAGTTACTCCCCAGCTAGGCCTGATGAAGCTGAAGCTCCCTTCATCAGGTAAGGCTCCATCATCCTGCTGTGTTCTCTGTGTGCATCTCAGGGCTGCACCCTCTTCAACTGCCTGGATCCTAGGTCAACATCAGGGAAGAAGAAAACAGTGAAGGTCAACTGGAGGCAGCAGCAGCAAGGGGATATCAGGGATATAGTGTGTGGTAGAGTGCAGGGCACTCAGAGGGGCAGAGATGGGGGGAAGAAGTGTGTGGGGAAGTGCTCCAGCAGTTGTAGGTGTGGGTTGACTGCCAAACTTCTGAATTCACGTAACCATGTGGGCGCTGCAATGGCTGTATCTTTGGGAACTGGGTGTAAGTCTTTCATTCCGTGCTGCTTTGACTTCAAACAGTCACTGAATGAATGATCATAAATAACTACAACTCCTTAAGATTGACCATTTTAGCAATTCTTGTACATTTCCCTGAATTAAAATAATTTTGTATCCAAAAATTGTTAATATACATTTCTACATTATAAATTGGAATATATAAGGATATTATGGTGGCATTTAGAAGGCAAACATTAGAATCTATTGTTCTGCTTGAATGCTAAAAATGTATGGAATTAATTTGTGGTTCATATTTTGGTCAGAAATAAGGTCAGGTTTCTGCATTAGCATTCTGAGTAGCTGATACTACTCCAGCTAAAAAAATCATACCAAATTAAATGTAGCATTTTCCTAATAATGTCAGAAATTGTTCTTGCAATGTTTGAGTTCTTTTAATCAATTAATTGCTTTTCCTCTACAATAATTGCATACAGCTGAAGATTTTTTCCTGTTTTACTTGAAAGTTTGCCTTATACAATTGTGCTTCAAAATGTCAACCATGTGTACACCCAGTCGGAAATGACAAAGTAATGAGAACTTCTAGAAATTTTGTTTTATGAGAAAATTAAAAGAAATTATTTTGGCAGTTAAAGATGAATAGAGTGCTAGGAACAGACAAAATATTAATCTACTATTTTAGTGAATAATGCTAACCTTTTTAACCAGTCTTTGAGTGTTTGTGTATGTGTAAACTTGAAGTATTTTCTTATGATTTAAAGTTCATAAGGGTCAACTGAATACTTCCATCTTTTAAATTGCTTCCCGTGTTATTGCAGTGTGCTTAATAACATTTGGTTATATTCATAAACTGTGTTACACCTGCACAGAGGGTAATTTATCTTTTTTCTTCATTGTTTATGATTGGAGAAAGTAAAAGTATTATGGAATTTTTTTTCAGTTGTAGCAGTATATAGGTCAAATTGATGTATTTATGTCCAAATTATTTTCTGTGTGGATAATGCGTCATAGCTCTTTTAGTGTACCTGTTTCCTATATTATCATATTCACCAGTACTAAAATCTGTCATCATTTTTTCTTATAGAATAACGAGATCTTGCATATATTTAATTCCAATGTTGACTAATGGTAAATTTTCTCATATTGTTACATAGCTCACTGAAATGCAAGCTGAAAGTAGTTATTACAGTCCACAGAAAGTAAAATCCAAAGAAATAATTTGCTGGCAACAAGAAGGAACTACAATTGAGGTAATTTTTCCATTACTTTTGTACAGTGTTAATTTATAGTAGAAATCTTGGCATCAGTAGTTTTTCATCAGTATTATTATTTTCAGCTGGCAGTTACAGTATTATTTTTATATTCCTCTCTTATTGGACAGTTGTACTTATTGAAAGAGATCCATTTTTAGATTATAGCTATACTTCAGAAATGAGTATTTTCATGTCTTGTCTATTACAAGAACTCTTTTATTTTATTTACTTTTTACTTAAGTACAGTGAGCCTACATATAAAATAATCCATAGAACTATTAATTTCACTGTAGTATCCAAGATTGTAAATTACACTGGGAAGTCAAAAACATTCTAGAAAAAGGCAGTGGCAAATCGCATATATTCTCTTTTCAAAAAAACTGAATAATTTTGTCTAATTTTCACCAGAAGTTGAACTCTTTGTGTGTCTTTATTTTCTTGTTTTATTTATAGATGCATAGCTAAATGCAGGATCCCACTCTAGTTTGAATATTAACCATTGCCCATTGTGTTTATACCACATTAATTTTTCTTCCCAGGCCCTTATGAGAGGAGAACCTTTCTTTAATTGCCAGATAGGATTTGTTGGTTGCCAAGCTCTTTGCCTTAAAGGAATTATGGGAGTCAAAGATTTTGAAGAGAACAAGAACAGAAGTGAATCAGTAAGTATAATTTATATTTTATTGGATTACAGACACGCTAATGTGTTAGAAAGCCTGGAAACAGTTTTAGAAATTTTTAGAAGATCCTGAATTAGATCCAAAGTGCCACGTCTCATTCTGAAAGTCAGAACAGGATTTAAGTAGTGTTTTTTAAGTAAGAAAAAGTAATTTTAAAACCTTTTTTTATTAGGGCCTCAGCGATTTAAGTATCAGTGAGAAAAAAAATCCCAATATTTGTATACATGTTCAGCTCATGAACACATCTGAAGTATTTTTTTAGGCAGGATAGTTTCAACTAAAGAGTTGATTACATGTTTGGAAAATCGCTGTATTTATCAATATCAGTGTTCATTTTGTTCTCTCTCTAGTCTGTATATACACACACACACCATAACGATTGGGTCTTGATAATTTTAAATCAAAATACTGAAATTATATAATTATTAAATGCTATTACAGTATTTTTTTTCATTAATGTGAATTTCTTATAGTAAAAGCTCTAGCTGAGTATTATCTGATTTAGGAGAGGGACAGTGGGAGAAGTCAAACAGGGAATTAGTCTGGAGTCCCTACATGGGCACAATAGGATAAAGTCTCCTTGAATGCTTCCTCCTTGAATGGCATTGAAGTTTATTTAGTCTCATCCAGCTACAGCATCAGTCTTAAGAAGATTCCTATGTATAGGCTTGAGCAAAAAAATTGCTAGTTGAACTCTTGAGGTGTGGATCTGGTTGTTTATGCCTGACATATATGAGATATCATATATAATAAAGCAACTCTATACTTATACCAAAATTAGGGCAGAGTTGGTTTAAATTGCTAATAATGAGGTTTGCATGCAAGTCTTAGTTGCTGCACAGTATTTTGTGGAAATCCTAGCAACTGTGAGATATTTGAGAAGATTTAAAAGAAAATACAGATACTCCTCAACTTATAATCACAATGGAGCCAGAATTTTGGCAATGAGTTGTTGCTGTCATATGTCAAGAGAGCAGATGACCAGACTTGATTATGGTCGTGTTTATGATGGTTGTAAAGCAAATCACTTAGTCATTAAATGAATCACATAGTTGTTAAATGAATCACATGGTCATTAAACAAATCCATTTTCCTGAATGGTGTTTTTTGACTGGAAATCAGCAAAAAATGTAGCAAATTGCTATCACATTATTGCAGAATGCTACAGCCAATTGTAAATGTGAACCAGTTGCCAAATCCTGAAATGTGATTATGTGACCACAGGGGGAATGGCAGTTATAACTTTGAGAATGGATCATAAGTAGCTTTCTAAAAGTCTGTTGTAACTTTGAATGGTCATTAAATGAATGGTCATAAGTCAAAGACTACCTGTAAAGATATCATGTATGTTGAATTAGCAACCCCATCGAAATTTACAATTGTCAAAGGTTAAATATTGATGTCGTAAAGGGATAAGTATGAAGACCTGGATAGTAATAGAAGATTAGAAACAAAGTGAGAGACTTAAATATAGAAAATGCTAGCTATAATTAACCTGCCCAAGAATATTACTGTTTTATATTAACTTCTGAATTTATAGCACCCTAGAAATTATGGGACTATTTCAGTTATTATATATTGGAGGCAATCTGCATTTGTGAAAAATAGGTTTATTTAAGTTCTATACTGTGATTTCTTTATTTTCTTACAGAGTTTAATTTTTCCCCCTTTTATATCAGGAAGCATGCTTTTTCCACTGTGGAGAAAATCTCAGTACAAAAGGAATGACATATCTTACCAATTCACTATTTGATTATAGAAGTCCTGAAAACAATGGTGTCCGTGCAGAATTTATTTTGGACGCAGCTGCTCATAAGGTCTTTTTCATTCCTAACTTGAATTTGCTTAATAGTCAGATCTTCTGTCTTTATATGGTTTATGTTTAGTAGATACAGTTATAAAATATGCATTTTCTTAAAATATTTTATTATTTGCTGGCTTTAATTTTTGTGCTAAGAAAGGTATATTTTATATCCAGAAACTGTTGGAATATGTATTTTTCCTTATCATTTAGAGACTAAAAATCAACATACTGTAAGGTGACCAAGTGTGTTACTTTTAATGGAGTAAATAAATAAATTAGCCCTTTTTATAGAATCTTTAGTAGGGACTAGGAAGAGCTTCAGTTTAAACAACTTTTTGTTACAAAATTATTGACTAATTGTGGGAAGGCTACTGTCTTGTAGCATAACTTTAAAGAAGATTTTGTGCTTATTAAAATAAGATAAATGTAGTACATTCCTTAAGTGATGCCAAAAACTATCAAGATGTGAATGTGATAAATTAAAGTTGGTATATCAATTAACCTTGTTAACTTTTGGTACTTAATTACCGTTCTTAAAGGGGAAAAGTTATTTGTCATCAGAATATTCAGAAGCAGTAAGCTAATTTTCTAACAGTGTTCACATTCGGATTCTTTAAAGCAACACAATCTGAATTCAATTGTCCAGAAATTGTCTTGCTTTTTCACAAGAACTTTTGAGATTCACCAATTATAGTGCAATGCATGACAACTAAAGTTGAGGTGGGGAGGTAGAAGAAACTTGATAACATTTTTGAGGCAGCATCTTCAGAGCTTAATTGCAATACAGTGGTACCTTGATATAGTCCAGGATATTTCTGGAAGACGCAATGAATACTAAAAACAACGAATACTTACCACGTGAGCCTTTAACAGTAACAAGTCACGAGACAAGATTTTTGCATCAAAAAGTGTTGAGTACCGAATTTGACGAATTTTGAAGCAGTTGAGTACCGAGGTACTTGGTAGACTCTTTCCTTCCTTTGTTTGTGAGAAGTCTCAGTTTATATGGTGAACTTTCTATCAATTCTCAGGCTGATCTGACTGATAAACTTACTTTGTTAAAGCTTAAAGCTTTCCTTTATTAGTAGTATATGGCTTCTCTTCAACTAATATCACCTTCCAAGTCTAATGACATAATTAGAATGTTATTTAAGGTTCATTGCTTCCTATAGACAATGAACAAACAATTCCTACTGAGTTCAAATAAACCTAATTGATTCAGGCTACATTTCCTAAATGTTTTGTAAATTGCAAATGTTAGATTTTTAGTCACCTGGTTTACTAGGAAGTGAGAGGTCAGATTGAGATAATTCACTCAATTTAGGATACTAATTAACTAGCTTCTGTTGGTAAAACTGAACAAAAGATCCAGAAGGCTTATAGATGCCCTTTTGTGTAGCCTGGTATGGAAGTTGCATTAGCTGTTTGAAGAATGAATTCTTTGACTAACCTCTGTCCTTTGTATTGATAAGCTTTACCATGTATTCATGCACAAACCCAAACAAGCATATATCTTTAGTACTTCTATATGGCTCTGATACCGTTGGGTTATAATCTCAAGATTCTTTCTTAAGAGAACATTAGTTGTATGTACTTTGCTTTGTTGGTAGGAGATGTACACAGAGATAACAGGAATGCAGCGGTTTGGGGCTTTCTACATGGATTATCTGTACACAATGGAGAGCACCAGTGGCAAAGGTACTTAATTTCTTTGTTTGCTTTCTCTTTGAATAACAGAAACAAAAGCTTATTCAGAGGCACCTGACAGTCCTTGACCGACTGTCCTTATTAGGCTTAACTTTTTAAAGCCTAACTTAAATCTGACCTGATTTCTTTAATGCCTGTTTGTCCATCATCCACCTCTTGTTTTTTGTTCAGAGATTTCAGAATAAAATAATGTGTATAAAAATATAGTGATATCCTATAACTTCTTAATTTAGACTGAGGAAACCTGGGTTCAGATCTCCACTTTGAGGAATGCTGAGTTATGAGAATAGCTTCCAGAGGCAAAGGAATACACAACAGCAGTATCGAGTGTTCAGCTTTCTGGTTATGTGAAAAACTAATTATTATAAATTACTTAAAAAATGGTAATTCAGCATGGGTAAAGTATTTCTAAAAAGGAGAATCCATCAAACACTGAGGCAATTTGTTTTGGGGAAACTATGTGTTAGGAACTGCTTTTTGATGTACTTTCCAGTTTAATCAAATCTATTTTACTTGTAGTTTTGAGCCCAGTGGAGAAACAGAACAAATTTGTTCACTGGCACTTACTCCCAGGTTACTTACATAAGATTGCATTGAATAAATAAGTCCACTCCTTATTCCCCATTGGCATTGATGAAATCACCATCAATCAGTTATAAAAGGCAGCTTTACTAGGAACAGCTCACATTCTACAACAATACCTTTAACACAAACAATATCTACCTATCCCAGATCTTGCAGAAGGACTCACTAAACTAAGTAGATAAAAATGTGAAATTCAGTCACATCTCCCTGACTGTATAATCAACACATTAACAAACAACTTTCTGCCTATTTTCCACAGAGCAACAATTTTAATATTAATAGTTACAAATGTTATCTAAATATTTGATTCATTGTGATGTACAATAAAAAGCTAAATGATAACAGTAATGTATCAATGGCATATAAATAATAATTCTTAACCTTAAGACATCCTTTTATAAATTGTGGCTTTAGTCTTTATAGCTTTGATCTGGTGACCTCACATTCTTTTGATCTACTTATAAATAAATATACGTTTCCTGAATAACTAAAAGACTGCATGTCTGTAGTTTTTTGTTGTTGTTTTGGTTTTTTTTGGAACAACTGACTTGCCATTAGCCTTCTTTCAAGATTGATTCCTTTTCATAGTGGTGTTGGCTACATTTAAGCTTGCAGAGCGCCATCTGTCCTCACCTCTTTCACCTTCCCCACTGTGAAGAAATATGGACCTGGCCTTGGAAACAGAGGCCAGGGGCCATTTTCATAAAAAAAATTATTCAGTCTCAAGATTAAAAAAACCTCACCAACACTGGCAGGGCAAGCTACTTTATATAAACAGGGGAAAAACTCCACACTTACTTGCACTGATGATGTTACCTAGTTGAATAATAGAAGGTCTGAAAGCAAACAGCCAAGCTCAGAGAGCACCAAGAACCCTGCAAATTCAAAATAACTTTACTTTGATTTTGTTTCATCTATAATGGGATTGACAGAAAGCCAGACTGGTTTCCAAATTTAGCTTTTTAACAATAAAGAGCGTAAGGATAAGTAACAAAAGAATCCCTGCTTGTCTGGTTCTTGACCTGCACTAACTTGAAGGTCTGACCCTCCCCATTCCTTTTTCATCTTATCAACCAGGATGACCTTTCCAGAAGCTGATACATCCATCAGCATTACTGTCAGGGTCATTGGGGTTACAGACTCCTTTCCTTGCACCTTGGGAGTAATCCCATGGATGGAGAAGGAGTAAGTTTACTAATTTTTCTAAAATGAAGATTCCAAAGGTATTAAAAGAATCATGACTTGGTGTTGAATATTTCATTTCTTTGAAAGTTCAATTAGGCATTGTTTGCATTTCAATTAGACATTGTTTGCATTGTTTGCACCTGCAGTGTGGAATACAACAGTAATATTTTCTGCTACAATGGTGAGTTATAATGCTACTTGTGGCTTCATGCCTCATTGCCTTTTGATTAGAGGCTGTGTGGGATATAAATGTTCCTCTCCCTGATCCTTTCCTGGTGTGGCTTTAAAAAGTTAGAAGCTTTTGCTTCATTATCATTTGTCTTTCATTTAGTGCATTATCTGAACTTGAAAATCTCTGATTGGTTGAAATAAACCAGTTTTAGATACTATATTTATGTATACATTAAACTGTAATCAGTTTTTTACGTCTGTGTCAGCAACATAATTCCTTTTCACACTTATGGGTCTCTTGATATTTTAATTTGGGTCACTTTTGGTGTTTTCAGAGAAAAAGAAGTCATAGCTGTAGTAGACTTGGAATAAAGCAAATACAGTTGAACTGGATCTGTGAAAAATATGCATGCAATACATGTATTTCTTGTGGATTTTTGCTGTATGCTTTGGGCACATTTTTTTGAGGGCAGGATGGAAATGAATTGCTTCCTAGAATCAGATATCTCCCTTATATTACCATTTGCCCACCCTTTCTCATAACTGTTACCAAAGTTATCTTGGTATAAGGAAATTGGGCTTCTCTGTGAAATATAGATGCAGTAAAGGTTATCTTTGAGATAAACATACTTAATTAAATCTGCCTAAAATACTATTTCTTTAGCTGAATTTAATTTTGGACAGGCCAGTTTCCTTGAGCTAACAGTGGGAAAAGGGAGCTTAAATGCCCTTCTGATTTGATTTATATGCTGTTCTGTTGTTTTCTGATAAAGTTTGAAACAAGCTAGGGATGCACAAAGTATTTTGTAAAATGATATAGAGAAATGTTTAATTACCACATCATGCCACTATTGTTTATATGAATTGACTATTTGCAAACCTCAAGATTCAGGGCAGCAGCTTCTTATCTTTACATGACTGGATCTTTAAAGAGAAAATAAGTGCTTTGGTATGTGTCATGTATCCATACATTGGTGCAAATGTATGATATTTGCTGTATAATAAAATACCTTCCCTAACATTTTCTTATTATATATTAATATATATATATATATAATATATTTTAGGGTCTGGAAATCAGCCAGATGTGACTTCTGTGAAGATTGAAGACTTCATTGGTGTTCAGGAGATGTCTACAAAAGGTCTTATTATAGGACCTCTCAGTCTTCGACTTGATAGCAGTGCAGTGCACAGAATTATAAAAATGATTGTTTGTGCTCTGGAACACGAATATGAGCCTTATAGCAAGTCTAAATTAGGTATGTTTTGTGAATTTTGAATTTTTAAGAACCAGGTATCTGAGATTTCATTGAAAAAATATTAAGGATAAAAATGCATGCCAGAGGGGAAGTTCTGTGAGATTTCAGCTGAGTGTTGCCTATTGTCTTACAGTTAGTCCATTTTATTATCTGCTTAAGGCAGTGGTGGCGAACCTATGGCACGCGTGCCAGAGGCGGCACTCTGTGGGCACACGTGCCGTTGCCCCAGCCTCGCCTTCCCCCCACGACCCCCTCCTTACCAGCAGCCCCCCTGGAGGAGAGTTGCCCCCAAGCGTGGCCCACACGGAGCAGTGCAGCCAAGGACATGGCAGCCAGGCAGCGTAGACAAGGCTCTGCCCTCATGCCCCATCCCGCACAGTTGATGCTGCGGGACGCGGGCAGAGGGCGTGGTCACCATGGCGCTGCTGGGCTGCCTGGGCGATCTGCGGCGGGCCCTGGAGACGGTGAGTGGCCTTGCGGGCAGGTGGGGTGGGGGACGGGGTGGGGGCGGAGCAGGGTGGGGCCAGTTTTTGGGCACTCAGTCTCTAAAAGGTTCGCCATCACTGGCTTAAGGAATTCATTTGCTATGCCTTTTGGGAATTGAAAATGAGAAATATTATGATATATCGTAACACTATATATTACTTTAAAGTATACTTTAAAAATGGTAATTTTTTTAAAGATCCTGCATGGGAAACATGTCCAGTCAGATGTATCTTCAAAATTATTATTTAAATAAAGGCACGTCACATTACAAAGAATAAAAGAGTAGATTAAGGAAGGAGAGAAAAAAGGGAAGAATATACTTATAGTATTGCTAATTTCATAAATAGGGTACATTTAAATTATAATGAGACTTTCAGTCTTATTTTTCTGTTCATGGCATACAGTGTTTATTCATTTATTTAACAATATAGGTACATAAATACCTATATTGTAGTTCAGCATATGATACAATAAAAAGCAATTAAAATAATAAATATGATCAGACAAAGCTACTGTAGGAGATGACTAGGCTGAGCCTGAGGGTGGGGTCAAACACATCATCAATCTGTTGTCCCTATGCCCCTGAAAGAAAGTTAGTCCAGCCCCCTTAAAGTCAATTGACTCTTACCTGCCACCAATTTGCCTTGTCTGTTAATAGATCAGATTCTTGTATGGGCTGCATAACTCGCAGTGCTTTTGAATTCTTATCCTGGCTCTTGGTTTTTTGTGACTGAGAGCTGCAGGCTTGCTGAAATAATACTATTTTAATTGCTTTCCTGGATCTTGTGCCAGTGGTGGTGGTTATTCTCAACATACTTTTCCCAGATGTTGTAATCCAACAGATAAATACTATTTTGGCAATGTCTTTCCTCATATATCCCGGTGTGTGCCATTAACAGGTTTAAAGGTAAGGAACAGCACTTTGAGTTGGGCCAGGAAGTAATGCCAAGATTCAAAGCAGAGATTATTTATTCTGTACTAACTGGACAACCTTATCTGCATTCTACTTGTTGTGTGCGGTACTAGTTATAAAAGCGTCACATAGTGTGTGTTCTCGCACAGGGGTCCCCAACTCCCGGACCTATTTGGAACCAGGCCATGTGAGAGGAGGGCAAATGTACACGTGTGCGCATAGCTCTACTTGTACAAGTGGCGGGCTGGTGCACATGTGGTCAGCTTCACTTGTGTAAGCATTGGGACGGCGCACACGCACATGCACGCTGGCCCATGCTTGTGTGGGTGGAGCTGCACTCGCACACACGTGCACACTATCCCACCAGTCATGCGGCCTAGTTCCCCTCTCTCCCCCCCTGCCAGGCTATCAAGCCGCAAAGGTTGGAGACCCCTGTTCTAACAGTCTCATTGCATGATTGTGTAATTGTTGCCTGTTGTTAACCTGGTTAACTGGAGCACCAGCCAAAGTTGGGCAAAGGCCTTCCTGGCTACAGCTTCCATCTGCTATTGTATAAGCATTCAAAGCAAGCGTAAATCATGATCTGACTTGTTATGTCTAAATTAAGACAAATTGATAAAATAAAATATTGATGATACTATAGACATTTATTTTGGTCATTATATTAAATTTAACCAACACTTATTATTATAGATTTTATAGAAGGAGCCAAAGTTTTGCCAAGCACAGAAGAAGCTACTGCCTTAGAGGAATATATTCCAACTCGGATCACAACCTTTTCAATTCTGAAATGCACTGTTACTGTTCCTATGGCTGAATTCAATTTGCTTGCCCATTTATTGCCTGTTATTATGGGTCAAAAGGTACTATAATTTTATGACCTATTTATAATTAACATCCATGCTTTTGGGCAAATATTATTTTTATGTAGTCTAACATAGTTTATCTATATGCTAAATTTATAATAAAATAGATGATTTTGAGTTATAGATATAAACTATATTTGGAATTATATAGTTTAAAACTTCCAAGTTTTAAATGTAACTTTGTCTGTGTATTTTGTATCCTATATCATGAAGAGTTCAAGCAACTTCCTAACTACAACGAATCTTCAGTTGCTACGGCCTCTGCCTTGTATCCGAATATTGGTAGATAAAATGATCCTGGAACATTCAGTGCCAATGTATGCTGATCAACTTGTGCAATATGTCAGCAGCCTTAATCAGCCATCTGATAATTTACTTCACTATTGCTATATGCACTGCTATCTTAAGGTATCTTTTATTCTTTTTTCTTTTCAGTAAATAATGTAGGACATCCCACTAGTATCTACTTAGTAACATAATAGCAACATATAACTGTTTATCATATAATGGACCATTGGTTCCAAGATACAGTAAATCATGCTATCTTAGTGTTCATTTTGTTCCTTGCATGATTTTTATGCTTAGACTTTCTAAAATACGCAGAAAAGCAAGAATCGCATTGTGTTGAAATGAAAAAAGTACGCTAATGAAAAAAGTCCCAAATATTTATATTTTGTTATTGACTATGTTATTTCTTTTTAAAGATATTTGGTTTTCAAGCGGGATTGACATCATTGGATATTAATGGATGTTATAGTTTACCAACTTCAGTAATTCCTCAATTCAGCACAGCTATATATGGCAAAATCCTTAAGCTACCTAATTACTGGTAAGCATTTCATAGTGTGTATATGTATAAATGTAATCTGTCAATAAGGATCCATAATTTTTTGATCATGGAATTTTATTAAATAAATTCCTTACATCAGGCTGTATTTTTCAGCCTCCTGCTATGATTCAGCTGGATTAAATTTTCAACATTTTATTTCATTTTAATGACAACATTAATTTAAACTAAGGCAAAAAAAAGGCTACAAGCAGTCCTTGTTTAACAACCTGTCATTTTACAACTGTTTGAAGTTATGATGGCTGTGAAACAGATGCTTTATGGCCCCTAAAGCTCCCCTGTCCATTGTAAATGGTTGTAGCACCCTCCCACCCTTGCAGTCACATGACTGCATGTTAGATGGTTCAGCTTTACAACCTGTCATGGCATTCCGTGCTCATATGACCATGATTTGTGATTTTTTTTTGTCTGTTTCTGGCTTTTTTTTGGCCAGTTAGTGGCAAAAAACATCCATTTAAATGAATGAGTTTGCTTAACAGTTGCAGCATTCGCTTAATGAATGCAGCATTCTCATTTGCTTAATAATCTCTGCAAAAAAGGCTGGAAAATTCCTCCCAGTTGCAGGGGTCAATGACTTACATGGTTGTTGAGGACTATCTGTAGTAATGAAGTAGGAATCAATGAATATTACAACCAGATTGCTAAATGTAATCTGCAATGAATGGAACTCCAGATGAAATACATCAAATGGCATTTGAACGGATTTATCCAAATCAGCCTGCAGACTGAGAGCTTCATTAAAGTCGTTCAGTGAATGGGAACTAGTCCTGAAGAAAAACCTGGTAATGTGATTAAACTTGAATGTGCACTTTGTTTTTTTAAATTATACCACCTGCTTTATCTGGGTTTTGAGATTTTACATTCCAGTGTTGCTTAAAATATACATATTGGATGATACACATGTTCTGTATATCCAACAGACCATCATTTTTAAAAACAAAGGTATTTTATGAACTATTATCGAATTCCCCTTGTAGCATGTTTTGAATAATGATTGAGAATCTCAATTTTATTTCTTGGGTAAATCTGCAATATAGCTTTCTTTGTTTTTTATTTAAAAATATTTTCAAACATTATGTATCCAGTATATATTATTACTGTAACATTTGCATTTCTAAATAGTATTTGAAAAATTTAACCAGAATATTTCATTGCCTGGATGAAATAACATTTCATATTTAAAAAAATATCAAACAATAGTCCAAAATTTTATTATTAGGTATGTTACTTTTGGTTGGTTGACTGGTTGTGATGCTATATGACTAGAGCAGAAGATTCTGGGTAATACATGGAAGTCTGCTTTAAATTGTATTGTAAAATTCTGAAATTATTGCCACTTGAAACAAAATATGTAACTTATTTACTTATTTCTTGGCTTTATATCTTATCTTTTCTAATTAAAGCATCGTAGCTAACACATTAATACTTAGAAAATGTTAATTTTAAATCCTAATGCTTACGAAGGGCATTAGAAATGTCTTTATTTTACTTTATTTTTTTAATCATGCATTTGTGGAATGTCAATAAACTCCAACATCTTGATTTTGCCTGTTGGCTCTTAGTTGTATGCAAATAACACCAAGTTTCTGGTGTTGCATCAGAGATATCCATTAAGCCAGAGGTCACCAACCTTTGTCAGTTGACGGACTGGAGGAAAAGGGAGGGGGAAGCATTTTACATGTGTGCGTGTGCGCACGTGGGTCTACGAGCACACGTGCACCGCAAATGGGGTGGGGCTAATGCCCACATGATACTCACTAGCCTTGCCCCGTTCTTGCATGGTGCAGCACCATTCTTGTGTGGTGCAGCGGAGGGCTGGAGTTGCTTCCCTCCGCCTGCCAGACACCTGCCAAAGCCACACAGGGTAAGGTTGCCACGACCCCCCCTGCCGAGATGCCCTCGCCTCCCCCAAACAAAAAAATGATTGGACAGAAAGTCGATGTAACACAAAGAGGAAAGCGAAGAGTAGGAAACGGCGCACAAACACCCTGATTTTTTTTTCAAGTTAGTCTGAAAGATTGAAGAGTGCTCTAGAGTTCTTCAATCTTTCAGACTAACTTGAAAAAAAAATCAGGGTGTTTGTGCGTCGCTTCCGACTCTTCGTTTACCTCTTTTGCAATGCGACTGAAAGGCAAGTTAGTAAAAAAACGCTTGGGGGAGACGAGGGCATCTGGGTGGGGGCATGCAGCAACCTTACCCTGCACGGCTTCGGCAGGTGTCTGGCAGGTGGAGGGAAATGATCCGGCGGGAGCAACCGACAGAGGCTAAAAGCTCCCAGCTGGTAGGAGAGCTGCAGCGCCCGCCAGTGCCCAAAGAGCGCCAGGTTCAGCCCTTAGCCCAGCGCCTGCAGCACCGAGTAGGCATGCAGGCTGGCACTGGTGGCCGCTGGCGAAGGGCCCTGGCAGGCTGGTGGCGGGGTGGCACTCCGGATCTGGGCCAATTTGCCTTGCACCAGGCAGGAGCAGCCCAGTAGGGTAGCCCAGAGCAGTGCGGCCAGGAGGGCAAAGAACCCCGCAAAGCAGAAGCAGCACAGGCAGCCACTTGGCTGCCACACGGCACCTGATGCAGCTGAGAAATGTCCCAGCAGCAGTAGGGCCAGCAGGCAGGGCGGGTGGAGGCTGGGGCTCACTGAGGGTTTGGTTCATTGCGACCGCAGGCAAGCAGACGGTGGGATGGAGAGGGTGGGGCCGGCGGTAGCCAGTTCCACCGGCAGCCCCTGGTGAAAGGCCCTGGCATGCTGGTGGCGGAGGGCGCTCTAGCTGTCGCCCGCACTAGGGCTTATTTTCAGATTAGGCCTTACATTAGTCCCCCCCCCCGAAAATCAGCTTGGGCTTTTGGAGTAGGGTTTACTTTCGGGAAAAACGGTGTGTGTGTGTGTGTGTCTGTATCCCAATAATAATACTGTGCAATTCTAATTTCTTCCATCCTTTTTTATTTCCTAGGTCTAAGCGATCTAATATTGCAGAGAACGAATTTATATTTGAGCTTCCAAATTTGACAATTCAAGCTACAAGAGCTCAGAACTTTCTAATGCAAACTATTTGGCAGAGTTGGGCTTATACTGGAAATTCTACTTCATCATTAGTGAATGAAAGTTTAATGAATGAAGTCTTCCAAATATCAGGTAATGATAACATTTTTATGAATGGTGTGTCATTCATTCATTCATTCTTATGTTTGAAGCTCAGATACAGTTTTTAAAAAAATTCTGATGTGATCTATTTTAAGTACAGTACAGGTACAGTAAAATGTATTGAATATATTTGGAAAAAACTGAATGCATTCATGTACCTAAATAAACAACATATCATTTAAACAAATTAACTGAAGAATCCTCCAGGTAAGCCATTGTATTTTGACTGACATTAATAAATGTGCTTGTGATCTAATTTACAAAATGGACATTTGGGTTCTTAAAAATAAATCTTAACTAATCAGTTTAAAACTTGCTTTACATATTGGTCAGCAAAAAAAACCTTTGGTTTTCCAACAAGAGATTATCGCAGCCAACTGCAATTTGTTTATACTCAATGCATGTGTTTAAAGACCTCTGTTTATCACACCCTCCATTTTTTCTAAAGTATACAGTTCAAGAATTAAAATAAGTAAGAGACAATACAACCCCAGTTTGTAATTGAAGAATTACATTAATAACATTCATTTAATCTGGTTTATTCAATTTAGGCGTCATCTGTTTCCAAACTGATGGAAGGCTGTGTTTATCACTTCTTTGAGAGTTTTCCTAATGTAATTTTTTGTAGTAAGTCTAAAGTTTGGATTCTGATGCATATGCCAGGAGAATATTAATGCCATTGCATACAGTTTTATTTTCTGTAGAAACTGAACCTTGAGAGAGCATTTTCCCTGCTGCATTTAAGTAATTTGTAATTTTGTTGACAGTCCAATTCTATTAATCTCTGTGTGGGGGTTTTAAACAAAATTGCTTGCAGACGTCTAATTTATCTGCTTAAAATGATCAAATAGGCATTTGGACCCCTCATGTAAATGATGTATTAAAGTGAAAATAAAACCTATTTTCCAGAAAGTAACTGCAAAACTATTTTATGGAAGACTTCATGTGGAATACTGTAATGGTTGAATAATAAATTTTACCTCACAAAAATGAAATTCAATAATACAGTAGCTTTCTCAGTGCAGTAGCATCTGGCTAAATCTCAGGAGAGCCAATATTTTCCAACTCATTAGGACCATGTCGTTCTATATGTCGTCAACACTGACTTAGCCAAGCTACCTTTACTTACATAACCACCAAACTATTAAATAGGTCTCCTGTGGAGTGAAGTCAAATATTCCTCTTATTTTCCTTTTTCCTTGGAAGAAAAGAAGAAAAGTACATGTTGTAACATTTAAACATCTGGTCAAAACCACATCAGGGTAATGTTGAGGAAAGTAACAGAATTCAGAATTCTTCCCAGGTGTGCATATAAAAAGGGTTTTGGATTGGCTACATAGTTCTTTAGCCAGTTAAGAAAAAGATTGGAAAGACAGGCAATTGCTGTTTTAATGCCTCTGAAATTTGCTCTTCCTCCACTCTTTTCTTTCTCTTCCCTAACCTCCCCAGCACACACATTTCTGAACTGAGTCGTAATGCAGGTTATTGAGCTTTAATCATTTCCTTCCAATCTTCTGGGTTGAAATGTATGCTCCATGTGATATATCCAAAGCTGACACTTATTCTGAGCACCCTGAGTTAGATTTTAAACTACATGCAGTGCAGGTATCATTTCAGGGACTAAAGAGTTCAGTGATGTTCTTACCTGTTGGTGAGCCATGAGTACATTAGCTAACTTGATAGCTCACTCAATTGTGACTGAATGCAATAAGCTTTAGGTCTGGGTGCCTTTCTTTGGTTCTAGACCAGGGATCTTCAAACTTGGCCCTTTTATGACTTGTGGACTTCAACTCCCAGAATTGTGCCTGGCTGAGGAATTCTGGGAGTTGAAGTCCACAATTCATAAAAGGGCCAAGTTTGAAGACCCCTGGTCTAGACCCTCCCCACTGAAAAATAGCTACTTTAGCCATTGAACCTGTACACCTAGGACTACAGGAAAGTTTCAGAAAAGTCAGGTGTAAATAATATAATTAATCAGTTTAAAACCCCTCCATGTGATTTTAAATGACTGTAGGAGGAAAATGGCAGCCCAGTGATTTTCATGCAAATCTGTGCAAGAAATGAGCACTATAGTCTTGAGCCAAGATGTATGATGACAGCTGAAAGAGTTTCAAAGAGCGGTGTGGCAAATATTGGCAGTTGAGTTTTAAAACAAACTGGCTCAGCCATTTTCCCCCCTCCCTTGAAAAAAAGTTTCTCACATTCTTAATCCCATGCTTTCATTACCTGTCACCTTTTTCAATGAAAAGCCGAGTGATTATTTTGTGTGACTTTAGGTTGAATTGTATAATGCATTGCGTTGAAAGGAAAAAGGAAACAACACCAAACTTTAGCATCATTGCTTTATGTTTAAATTGCCAAGACTTTTCTTGTCTGGGTGTCATGTAAAGCAAATCCAGCTGCAACGTAGAGTCTTTTTCCCCACCAAGAAAAGGCTGCAAACTTCTAACAGTGAATTGTGGAGCACTTTGTGCTCCTATTCTGGCAAGATATTGTCATAAAGTCACACAAACTTCAAACTGAACTAATTAATCCATCCAATTAACCCCAATGGGGTAGATTTAAATCTTAAACAGAACTTTGTTTGTTTGGGGCTAAAGTAACATTCCCCGTGCCAAGCAAACTATTTACCTGAGGGTTAACTGTCCCTTCTAATATCTGTGATTTGAGACAAAGTCCGCTGTTAAAGCTCAGCCATCTCAGTATTCGCTGGTGGATGAAGTTTTAGCTTCCCTAAGTTGTATGAAAGGTTGAAAAAAAGAGTACAAATGGATGGGATGGTAATGTGAAATATTACCACATCTGCTATTTCAAAACCTTTTCTATTTTACCCATTTTACTTGCCTAGGAAGAATTAGTAATCTGGACATTTGCGGAATAAGAGAATCATTGAATGTTGCAAGGTTAATAACTTGAACAGAGAAAAGTTCTGGCTATAATGCATAGCAGCAGTGTGTCTACTGCTAAGGTCAAGAGTCATGATGTGGTGGAATGACTGTGCTTGACCCTAGTTAAACTTTTCTGCATAGGCATTTTGGACAATGTGCAGGATTCTTTTGAGTGCTGTAATCTTTTCCCAACACTCAAACATTTTGTATATGTAAATTTCACGGAATATACCAAATTGCCATTGCTTCCAGGCTACCAGGATTCCATAAACCTTTTTATGGAAAATTTATCATTTGATTTCCTCTTTGGAAGACTAGTATTCATCGACATCATTACAAACATTGTTAATATTGTGGCTTACTAATTTTAGATTCTATTCTCTCAAAAGTCTCCTTTAATATTTTCACTGTTATAATTCTTTGCAACATTTTACAGGCTTGTAAGTCTTTTCTGTACCTAAAAACTTTAGTCCCCTCTAGTGTCCAATTTTTGAAATTATGAAATTGCTTATCTTTGTTTTGTCTTGAAAAAGGCAAAGTAGAATATTTCCCACAAGAAATATTCCCACTGTTATTTATAGTTAATTCCAAAATCTTATTGTAAATTTTTAAACATTCCAATTTTATCTGTACCCTTGGTCCTTTTATAACTTTCTAAAAATCAAAATGTTATTTAGCTTTTTACTGTTTATTTCAAATTCTTTAAGTTCCTTAAATTTATGATTAAATTTTTCTTTATTCAGGATTGAAGGCAGATTCACCTGGTGCTTTCAAACATGTTCTTATGAACATCTCTAATAGAAGTAATTAATGAACAATTTATGAAAAAAGTTCTCTAATAGCGTAAAAGTAGTTAATCAGCAATTTTGTGATTAGAAAAATGAGGTTTGTGAACTTAGTGTCTTTTAAGTCTCTGCAGTTGGAAGCCAGGGAGCTAATCATGTTGTTTCCCAGCACTCAAACTTTCTCCTGTCAGGAGAAGAAATAAAATATGGATATTTACTGGTACTTCTTTGATAGAAAATGGAAGTCATTTATTATATTTTGAATCTAGTATATAATTTTTCATGTCCCTATTTTTTTCCACATAAAATCATTTATTAGCCAACCTAGCCAGAAGTAGCTTTACTTCTGTTTGATGCATGGAAGCCCAGAATGGGAAGGAGAACAAATTATCATCCAATTTACAAATACTTTGGTGCCTCGAGAAGTTTCTTGCCATCTACAAGCTTCTATTATAGTAGCTTTTTACAAGCTTGTTTTAGGGGGCTGCCTTATATGACCATATTTGATTGTCAGCTAGAGGGGAATAGAGAGCTCACAAGAGTATATTATCTTTATGAAAGGTAACTGTTAGCTATGGCAACTCGTATCTTTTATTCTCATCCTGTTTAATTGTTTCTATTTAATTAATTTATCCCTTTGAGTTATATACTAGTTCTATTATAGCACTGGAAAATCGGGATAGGCCTTTTTTTTTTTGAACCCATGTTTCATTAGCATTGCTAAACCCTTTTTTAATGCTTTAGGTTTGTTTGTTTGTTTGTTTGTTTGTTTGTTTGTTTGTTTGTTTATTTATTTATTTATTTATTTATTTATTTATTTATTTATTTATTATGATTTGTTCATATACTCAAGCCTGGTATTTTCTGATGATGGCATGTCAGTGTCAGAAGACTAAGGTATACATTTGCACATAAATCAAAATCCGTTGGAGCTTTGGTTGGGAATTTTGGGAGTTCTGTTTCTAATAGAACCAGCAGCACTAGATTTGGGAAAATTGATGTACACAGTAATATTATTTTACATAAACGCTGAAAACACATTTTTAAGATTGCTTTTCAAGAAAAGTCATGCAACATCAGCACTGTGGAACAGTATGAATTCTCTTAGCACTCCTTTAAATGGATTGTAAGACTTGGGGATATGTAAACTGGGATGTACAGTCTTAAATAAAATTTATATTTGATATATGAGCTGTGCAATAGCAGTGGAATGACTGAGTTGAGCTTGTAAGCAATGTAGTATGTAGATGAATTTTCTCTAAAACAAAGCCGGACACTAGATCCAAATGTGAGGGTAAATAATAGTTCATAAAACATA